TTTTTTTATCCCTATTGATCCACTGATGTTACATTTACTCAGAGCTTGCTTCAGATTGGCTGACGACTCCTCCCCCTTGAAGTTGCTAAATGGTCGCGTGGAGGATCAGTTTTATTAACCTGATATAAGCCAGATTGATACATGAAGTGCCAATTGAGTTCTATTCATTTCAATCTGAGAAGCCTCCTGTGGGTGTTCGGAAAACGGAGGGGCATGCAGTTCATTTCCTGGAACTGATTGGGTACCTGTCTCACATGTTAAGTTTTTAACCAATCACAGCAGTAGTAGCAACCAAGACGCATCACATTCTTGATTAAATTCACCAATATATCAAACTCACCGTCTCCTGTTCCACAAAAGTAAAAAGGGCATTTCAGCTGAAACTGGGAGCAGCCATCTTTGTTTTGCTTCAGCCTACGGTTGATGCGTTGACGTCATACGCGACACTGCATTACGTTGGTCCGAAACATGTCTCCCATCGAGGCTAATACATCCGTAGGCTTCCAGCAAGATGTATTTTAAAGCGAATTGACAAAACTCACGAGAATGCCTCTTGCTTGCAAGGAAGCAGTTTTATTTCTCTTCGTAATTTGTGTTTGAAGTTTAATTTCAGCTTTTTATCCCCCTCTAACACCTTACCATCCCTTACCATCTTTTCAAGCTAAATTTTTGCTTGAGTCTTTTTTATTCCGATTATTTCATTGAATTATATTAAAGGAGAAAATTATGTTAAGGGTTTGATAAATTATTTTTCCCCAAATATTATAAATTTGACGATACATTAATCTTATTCCGAGAAATACACTGAATCTCTCTGCATGTTTACGTTTTTTTGGTTTCCTTTAATTAAACAGAATTTGAATAAATTATTTAACTACTAATGATGTTTCTCTATTATAAACTAACATTAAAACCATAGGAATTCAAATCTGAAATAAAAATCATACTGCTGTTTGTTTGTTTTTTCAAAGTTATTTTAAAGAGATTTCATGCCCATCAAACCGTGGACTTTAATTAAAGCAAACGCACCTTTCCAGCTTTCCATTTGATCTCAGTAGATTTGGAAACCGGATCTCCACCCTCGTTGACGTTAAACTCTTTGGAGAGAACTTTGTTCTCAAAGTACGGATTCTCGTCGAAGGACTGCAGGGACACAAAGCAGAATCAGAAACAACTCTGCACCCAAAACAAACCTGAAAAGAATGAGTAGGAAAACTTACAAAATCTATTCTGTAGCCAGACTTGATGTCCTCAAACTCTGTGACCTCAACCTTCGACAGATAATGAAGAGCTTCCTCGTCCTCCTCCCCCAGAAGAGCCGAAACTACAACAAACAGTAAAACCAGGTGTTTTTCTCTTTTTTTTTCTGATATAAGAAACCTTCACTACGACTGGACCTAAAACAGAGAACCAACTTTTACCTTGTGGATGGTTGACGAATGTTGTGACCCAGAAGTTTGGGATTTTGGCTATGAGCTCTGATCTCTTCTGAAAGAATGGCTGGCGTAATTTATTGTACTTCTGCTCTACTTTTAAAATTTCTTCACTCGCCTGCTCATTTAATCTGAAAAAACAAAAACAAAAAAATTTAAAAAAAAACAAAACAACAACAAAGAAGATACAGCGGTTAATGTGAGTGGGACAACGTCTTAGCGCCAGATTTAAACTCACCTGTCGATTTCGTTCTGTACTTCGTCAATGTGTTCAATCGCTTCCTGCTGCTCTTTTTCTGGAAACACATACATCCAATTTTAAGCAAAAGTTAGTAAAGAAAAAATAATATATATACATATATCACAACTCCCCCAATCCATAGGACAATATTAGTTAGATGGGACATTGGATTTGGCTC